TCCAAACGCCCGCCTTGGGGAGCTATGAATGCTTACCTTTTGTTTCCCTCTTCAAAGACTCATTTTGGTTGCGAACACCTTAACGTTCCTTTAAATTATTTAAACAGCTTTGAGTCGTAAATTTCAAGGCAGACTTTAATTGTTATTTTAACTGCAAGCTCAACTTAGTCTCCCGTAAGGTGGGGATCGTAGAAATATGTCTTAATTCGCCACCCTATGACTTATGTTTCATTGAAATTAAATTGCTTTTGTTGCTTCCACAGATAGAGATATTAATAAACGAAATTTTATAACGTTTCGTTTTACAAAAAAGTTTTGTTGACAAATTAAATTAAAGATATTTTTAATTCTACTTCAAGTTTAAAAACCGAAATCATTCATCATAAGAAGAATGTATTTTAAGTTATGTTTTTGTTAAAGAAAGAACTATTCTCTTCTATTTAATTCTTCATTCTTACATAAGCGTTTACAGTTCGTTAATATCTATGTTATATACATTTAAACGAATATTACATTGTTTAAACAATTTCTACCAATGTCTGTATAACACTACAATGTTAAAAACTCATAGCTTGGTAAAGGAATATACATTTCAAATTTAAATAAAATTGTTTCTTTTACTGAGTGCATGAAATTGAAGAGAAATAAAATTTCGTCTCGACCCTTCCGTATTCGGCAATCATATTGACGCGTCGAAAAAAAAGACGTCATGTTCTTTTCAATCTTGAATGAAATCGAGTGCACTTACGTTATCGCATCTCTGAGAAACTCTTACAATATCACTCAGTTAATTACTTGGAAGCATTAAATTGCGTAACCGAAATGGATCCTTTTGTTTATGGGTTCCGATTCTTTCAATAATCTATCAGCCGTTGCATCAGTTCTGTTTTCGTTATAATAATAATTGTCCATAATTACATATTCCCTCGATCGAAGCATCGTTTTTATTGTTATTTTATTTATAAAGTAATAATTTTTCGTCGGGCGCAACTCTATTAGGTTTTTAAATTTGATTGATCTGATATAAAGATCGATTTAATGATTGACTGCTCTTCACTTTTGATCCTCTTTTCTTTTTTTCCATAAACGTTTTCTTTGTATATCTGTTGAAGGTATATTTAAATTAAAAATTGTAAAACATATTTAAATTAAAAACGTAAAATACTTCGACTTCCAAGAAATATGTAACAAAAAATAACTTGCAATATTATGAACTACCTACGATTATGTATGTATCTACTATAAAGTCTAAACCCCTTACTTTCGATTCATATATTATTTTACATTTTGAGTGTTTACATACAGTCTATCCTAGAGATTAGCTGTTATCTTGACTATTGTTAGATAATTGTACAATTGTAAGACAATAATAGTTAATTAAATGATTAAGTAACGTCTAAGTTTGTAGAGTTAATAAGGCTTGTAAGTAGCAAAGGACATGTAACAATAAGAGGATAGATCGCTAAGTACGCGGGGACCACCGGGGCCAGCTTTTGTTGAGGCGCCTCCACTCGCAAATCGCGAGATGTTCAGATACGCCGCGCATGCCGACACGGGTCCTTAATGACCGTCCCTTCGCTCAAGTAATTTACGTCGCATGTGCGAAACCTCTCTTAACTAAAAGCCCTCTAAATTACACCATGCATCGCGATTGATTTCGTATTAATCTCGAAGGCATAACAAATCAATTTTTAAACCTAAATTATAATACTGTATCGGGATATATTTTGCATCCTTATGTTTATTAATCATCTGACAGTTGAAAAGTTAACTTAAACTTTAAAGATCTATATCTTGAAGTGAGAATTCTCTGAACGCAAAATGTACAAGTACTTGTATGTAGAGAAGTTGAATTATTAAAGCTGAAGTAAAGGGTCGGATGGAAACTTTTACAAGTTAACCGTATTTAGAAATGGCAAGACCTTAAAGTGTTTAGGCTGAACTATCTTAAGCGCAAGGGTCCCCTAGCAGGAGAACTCGGATTGGACTTTTACCCTTAGGTTATTTTGTGTTAACTTGATTTTGTGACGCATCGAGATATTTATCAAAACTAAGCTCTGTGCATTGACTCCAGTCTCATTTTCGTCTTTCTTTAATTGTAGTATTTAAATTTCATAATATTTACAATAATTTTAAAATAATCGATAATTAAATAAGAAAAACAATAATCAACTTTTATTCTGGCATACTCGACTACATTTACTCGTTTCTTTTTTATCAAATAGCATAATATAATGAGGTATATTCTAGATTCGCAGTAATCAAATAATATATGACTCATATACTTGGAGAAATGAAACAAAACAGCAAGCAGCACAATGAACAAGACAACGTTTCAATTTACAAGATCCGCGGCCGTGATAATCCGCCGGGAGCCCGATCGGTCGCTAGCGCTGGCTTATTACGTGCCTTGCCTCCGCACAACTTAACTTGTCTCCGTATTATCAGCCAGATTATTGTTAGTCGATATGCTACGTGGTTTCAACTATGCGTATGTCCTCTTTGTCTTTTGTTATATGTAAATTTTTATACTAATAAGCTTTACCATGGATGGTAACAGTCGACTAGTGAATTTTAAGAATTGATCACGCACGCTATTTGTCTTTCGGTTTATGCAACCAATCAGAGCTCTTGACTATATATTAGGTATATAACAGTAAGAAGTTCTCATTTATTTTCATTTTTCCATTTAAAAATAAACAATTAATAAATAAACACCCGCTATATTCATAATAATTCATTGTATCATTGTAACCGTATAGAACATTATCGTTTTAATCGAACATAACGATTGTGGTTTGTAGTAATTACAAAGTATAAACTATGCATAATACCATTGGATTATATTTCGAAATGGCGATTTTAATTACACCCCTGCCACAATAACTGCGAGCAACAAATCTCATCATTGAATGGAACATGATAGTTGCGGGCCCGTAATGTTGTTGGGGACTTAGTAATATGTATGTGAATCGATTACAAGTATTAATTTATAATGTAAAAGCCAATTTCTCATACATTTAAGATTCAGATGCACCATAGTTATATTGTCTTATGATGATTGGAGCGTCGGTGGCTCAGTGGTCAAGCACTTGACTTACAATCTGCAGGTCCTGGGTTCGAATCCCGCCATGTACCAATGTGTTTTTCCATTTCCAATTTACATATGTACATTTATCCGACGTTCTTACGGTGAAGGAAAACATTGTGATGCAACCTGTACATATCTGAGAAGAAATTCAAAGATATGTGTGAAGTCAACCAACCCACACTTGGCCAGCGTGGTTGACTATGGCCTAATCACCCTTAACTTAGGGTAGGCTCCGAGCCCCTCGGTGGGGACGTATAGTGAGCTGATAATGATGATGATGATGATTTAATATTTCTAATTATATACCAGTGGTGTAGTATTTCTTTTTTCCTACTTAAGTGCTCTATGCTTGAGTTTTCAGGAAAATGTAAAGAGTTAAGGCTCTTCCAAAGCAAGCTTTCAAAATAATTATGAAAGTTAACAATTTAAATCATGCAAATAAAATATTTAATTTTTATTTATAATATGTACATATAATTCGTTTATTTAAATGGTCATTTACGCGTAAAGAAGTGTTACTTGTTAAAAAAATAATTTTGATAACTTTATATGCAATCTAAATTTTTATGAAGCGGTATCTTAAGAAATTCAATTCAGTTGTGTACGAGTACTGGAAAACTTTAAATTGAATTAGTTTATATTCACTTTGCAAGTCTCTTACACTTCTGATGTCATACTTTTTAAAAGTTTAACATCTTGTTAGCGGTTTATTGAAGTTGTATTTATTCATAAACATTCGCGAAATATATTTTAAACATAGCTATGCTATGCTGTTCAGACAGATCACGCCCACTGCTGGGCATAAGCCTCCCCTAAAGATTGCCACGACGATCGGTGCTACCCTCATCCAGGATACGCCCGTACTCTAGACCAGATCATTGGTACATCTTGCAGGAGGCCTGCTATGCTCTGAAACCTAAAAATGTTTATTTAATTGTATTTGTATAAGATATATTTTTATTGAAAACTATTTGATTGTTAAAATAAAAACTGTATTTGACCAATATGTTCGTATAAAATTGAATCAAGAAAGATAAGTGATACAAGAACAAAGCTTCGAATTTTCGTTTGAAATGAGCAAGTGGCGCCGTAGTCGTAGGTCCTAACAACGCAAGTTAATCAGCCTGATCCCCTTACGACCTCCATTAGATAGACTGAGCGACTAAGGTGGCTAATTGAATAAGGGACCAAATTAAACTGTGAGCCGGCATGACCTCTTTCTATTCAAATTCGAGTCGTTCTTGATGCGTTCGCTTAAACTGATTTAACGTATACACGCAGTCACGTTGATATGTAAATCGATGGAAGAGATTAGATCACATTATTAAGGTGACTTGATTTTGTAAATTAACGTTGACACATGTCATCAAATCTTTGTATACTCCTTTGTACCTTTTGTCCATATTTAAAATCAAAACAAGGTATATTTTTATGAAACAGTTATATAAATGTCTTGTCAATCAATATCTTTAACGAAAGTGTTCATATGAAATGTGAATTAGCTGTATTTAATTCTAGTTTATTTTAGAGTTGATCACTGTGGTTGCTTGAAGCACACTAAATACTATGTCGGAACATAAGAGAATCGGAAGTTCCTCCCCCAATCGTTTCCGTCAGGTTAGATTTAATTGAAAGTTATGCAAATCTCTCAATTCGACTCCTTCACAATGGTACCGGGATTCCGAATGAGTTAATCCGTGTTTATGTTCCTAATCGGCCCCTTGCTGACGGCCTTGTTACGGCTTTAGCTCACTGTTAAATTTATACAATGCCTTTTGCGAACAATGAACCATTTATTTAAGGTAAATCATTGTTTATGTTAGCTTCTTGCTATTTCTTAATAAACTTACTAAGTGAAAACTAACTTGAATCGTTGATATTAGTATTTATTTATGTTATATTGTTGCAGCTGAATTAAAAATGGACGTGCTCAGAGAGCGGGAGGTGAAAGACAACCTAGAGAGACGACTAATGGACGAGCAGAAAATGAGAGGTTAGTCCCATAGATTTTTTTTACAACTTAAGTAATCTACATGCTACACAGAAAATTTTCTAAGTAATATAAAAAAAATCTTAAGTCTACTATGCTTTACCGATATCAAGTTTCAATTGTTATAGTCTTTTTTCACTTTCATCGTAAACATGAATTGTCTAGAATATTCAAATTATAAATAAAAGCCGTGCTCTTCTATGAAATTGCAAAATCTCTTTTGTCCGCTAGTCGTAGACACGTACCGGTGCGAAAAGAACAAACAAGGTGTAATTTCAATGCCTTCATAAATCTCCGATCACGAGCGAGCCTCGCATTCGCCAAAATTAACAAGAGATCTTATTACGGAACCATTGTCTTCCTCCGCGGCGTGTTATTTATTTCCAACATTAAAACTATTCTCTCATGTTACAAGAGCCGGTGCCTTATGTTCTGTTACCAATTTTCTTTCCGTGCCAACGACTCATCGGTCGTTTCTGCAATAATTGCAATGTATTATGGCTTCTATTATTTCTATCTTCTTTATGCTCTTCTTAATCTTGTCTATTACTATTGCATCTGTAAAAAATACAAATATACCTAATAAAATTAAGACTCAAAGTATCCTACTATTAATAATTATTAGAAAAAGAAAATCACACGTTTCTAAGGGATTGAAATACAACCCCTAACAAATGTAAAGGTTAATTTCCAAACAAACAATACCACCCTTTCTTCGTTTATAAAGAGTATTGTAACAAGTAAAAGGAAAGCAAACTGGCTTGGGGTGACCTTTGTACAAATGTCAAACAGAACGATGACAGCAACCTGATGTCTCAAGACAAAAGGGTTGCTATTAAACGTAATAACATTTGAAATTATTTTGTATTAGACTATTTCAAACATATATGTACCATGTCACATATTTGTTATGAAAATGGTTAAAGTAAATGATAATCTATTTACTACTTTAGTAAATAAAGCTTGAACAAAACATAAACTTTTGTAAAATTTAATATTCTGGAATATAAACTTCATAGTATTATAAATGCGATTGTTTAGATGGATGGATGTATTGATGTTTGTTTGAAGGTATCTCCAAAACGAATCTCGATGAAATTTGACAAACATATAGAACATAGTCTGAAGAACACATAGGCTACTAATTATGTTTTTAGGGTTGCGTACCTCATAGGAAAAAAACGGAACCCTTATAGGATCACTTTGTTGTCTGTCCGTTCGTCCGTATGTCAAGACCCTTTTTCTCAAAAACGCGTGAAGGTATCAAGCTGGAATTTATTTTAATACCGCTAAGACGGAGTCATGAGCGACTGCTAGTATAATATACAGAAGTTAAGAGTAAAGATTAAAAACAAGACATTAGCGGAGGCGATGTGATTAGATGTGAGACATGTGTTCTAATTACGAACAAACAAAATGTTGGCAGTGTAAACATTTCAGTTCCGCTCACTAAAATAATGAACGAGCTATTTGTTACACTAAATCATTTTTAATCCTACGTTATATTTTAATTTTAAATCTAACTTTTTTGTTAGTTCACTATTACGTAGCTGCCGATTAAATTGTTTGCTACGATTTTAGGTCACCTCTATATTTTTTAATGTCTGCGCTAAAGCTGTTAATGGATTTCAGTCTATTTACCGCTCTTAGCAACTGTAAAAGCTTTCTGACAACTTTCTTTCATTTATAGCGAAATTAATTTTGCGACTTCTGTCCAAAGTTTTAGTTCTTCAAAGCCTTCTTACGGTTTATTCATATACATAATTATTTATTTTACTTACATATTTTTTTATTTTACTTTTTACTAATATTGTATTATAAATGCGAATGTTTAGATGGATGGATGGATGTTTGTTTGAAGGTATCTACATAACGGCTGCATGGATCTCGCTGAAGTTTGGCATAGATGTCTACATCTATGCCACATTTCAGCTGTATGTAAGTGTAGCAATATGTTCTAACACAGTCTGGAAGAATACACAGGCTACTTATTAAGTTTGTTATTAATTTCGCGCGGATTAAGTCGCGAGCGACAGCTAGTGAATGTATAAATTTGTCCCAACGTATTTTCTTAAGTTATATTTGTTTCTTCGCAAGTAATATAACCGGAATCGATAGAGTTTTGTTTAAAACGTTTTGTTAGTTAACTGTACAACGCTGGAGGCGGAATAAGTTCGGATATTCACATCCCATACATATTTCACACGGTGAATGAACGCGATTGCGATGTGAGCAATACTGTTAATTGCCAAAAACCAATCATCAGATAGCGCTCTATGCGTCCACGCTATGAATTACGCCTTTAGTTACAAAAGCAAAGCCGACCAACATTTATACGTACATGCATCGATCATACATATTTTAAATGCAATTGAACATACAGCCGATCATTTTTTTAACAGTATCATGGCTTGTCAATTTTTAACTACATTGTCATATTACTAGATAGTGATATTGTTTTGATACGTTCATAGATATGACAAGAGTAATAGAAACTATTATACATGCTTTAACCCCACTTTCCATTCAAAACATAGTGGTCAAATTGGCCAAATATTTAGATAGAGTTTGTTTAACTTTTATTAAAGTCTCTAAATCTAATAGATGTGTTATGTCACTACATATCTGGCCAAGTCTTAAGCCAAAATACTTGTTTCATATACTTTTTGTTTTTAAACGGTTTCTAATTTGTGTATTATGTAATAAAAGGTTCATTACCGGCCAGTAAGGCTGCTGCAATAACAATCAATCAGGGAGGTCGATCGAAGTCCGCCAGGAAAATTGGAATAGAGCCCGAATAGAGGCCGGGCTAATCAACGGCCGCGGAGCGCACGGCCATTCATAATACATATTGTATTGAATGCGCCGATATCGCATCCGAATCTAGTGCTTTCGTAATGCCCTAGTCCATTTAAACAATGATGCGCTTAGTGGTATTATCCTGGTATTAAATTAATTAAACTATACTTCCAGATTTAATTTTGATGTCTTCTAATATGCCTTGTAAACAACATTTTTGTTGTTAAAATGTATTATAATAAAGTTATATTTTTATCGAAAAAAAAGCGAGAACTTTGTTGCGCACCTAATATTTTTTAATATTTTTCGTCGTGTTGTTAAAAAGCAGTAATTTGTTGGGGTAAACTTACGTCCAATAATTAGATATGTACTACGTTTAAAAGCATTAGCTTATTTTGATATATTAAGTTTAAATGTTACTCTAACATTTGCAAAATCAAAGTAATAAATAGATTTCCAACTCATTTATAATACTAACGGGGTGATTTATTCGTTTATAATTGAACTGGACACGTCTACAATGAATATTGACTGTAAGAAGGCACACCCTTTAAGGGTCTCCATTCATCGCCAAAGGTTGTTATGCGAGTTAGTTTCAAGGGGGAGTCAAAGATGTTTGCAAGTTTCGCTTTATGATTTCCTACCGTATCCTTTAATTTAATCATTGAGAGAAATGTACACTTGCTTAAGAATTTCGGAGCATCAAGTTCGCGACAAATAATGTTGATGATTAAAATGCTAAAATTTATTCGGTTTTCATTTTTTTACTTCGTAAAATTTTGTCTCGATTGTCTCATTTTTATTTTGAACTATATGAAAATAATGAGCCTGTACTAACATTTCCTAAGCAATGTAGTATTTGTGATGAGATATAAAAAGTGTTTATGTGATAAACCTACGTAAACTATTTAATATTTTTTTTGGTTTTTCGTGTGTACGACGACAAGACGACATTGCCTTTAATGTCAATTTGTACTCAAGAAATTGTTACAATCAAAGATTAATAAATAATAGTGTTGTGAGTAGGTGAGTATCCCGCATCCCCCGAAAGACGGAGCCCGACCCGCGCTAGCAAAGGAGTCGGTATAATTCTCATTGTACTCGAGATTGCGTAATTAAATAACATGTAGGCCGTAACATTACGGGCGTCTTGAAAGGGTTCGCAATGGAAATGTTACGCCAATTATGTGAACATTATGCTGGGAATGGAGGGTTATCGATGTCTATGCCCCTGTATGCGTCACAAATACCATATTACTTGGGGCATCGTGTGACGTTAGATTATTGTGTTTCATATGTATGTTATTGCTTAGACAAAATGTTTCGGTTAGGCCGCCGACCCCGACATTATCGGAGCCCCGGGCAACTTATAAACATAAATTCATCTTCGAATTCTGTACGGGATGGGGCTGCTGGTGAATAAGACATGCGGTCGAAACGACTCAATCATTCAATGAACATACCAACAAAGCAGTTTTAATATTGCGTAACTTTACTCTTTGATAAAAACTATACCAAAAAATGTGAGAATCACTAGCACTCCAAGCTTGCAACTTTCTTCAATCCATCTATTACTACACTTTTGATACAAAAGGCTGGTTTAAAATTATAAAAACAATTAAAAAATATTACTTAAAACAAAGCGTACAAACTGAGCGTATTTATCACAAAACGTAACAGGAAAAGCAAACTCGGAAACGTATCTATTTGTCCATTGATGGCTTATTTTGGAATGAATCTGGTCGAATGCATTCGTAAACGATCAAATGAGCATTCCCCTCGCATTTGGACGCAGTATCGGGGATCGTCGGCCGACTGATCAAATTCAAATGGAGTTGGCCGAACAATCGTATCTGCATGTGTCAGTAGTGCATTGTGATGCCGACACCCACCTGATGTATTGCCTCCGCAACACAACTCCATAATAGAACAGATTTATTACTTAGTAAAGGAATTGTGTAGCACATTGCATATTTACTTGTTTAAATAGAGATGATAACGATTAGGAGAGATTATAAAACAATTTGTTATTCTGGAATCTTCTAGTACGTCCATCAATATTTAACACCGGATGAGTTAGGAAGAAATCAAAAAATTTTTGCAATAGCGGCAAACAAGCGGCCGGGCGAGTTCGTGCGCCGAATGTCCGCCGCAGGTTCGCAGCCGTGTGCGGAATTCAATTACTCACTTCGGCTGTCGTCGAT